GAACCAAATACCTTGTTGCTTAGAAGTCCATTGGCACTGCGAACAATTTGTTAATCTCATCCAAGGCTACTTTTGTGCACACAGTTGGCTCAAATAGTTCCCGCTCATCTGATTTTGAAGGCAATATCTGAGTTGCCTGGTTCTTCCTTTGATCTTCTTGCTCAAATTCTTCATCATTGTCATCATCATCATCATCATCCTCAAGTATTGAGAAACCGGCAGCAGGGTTGGGTTTCGTCTCTACTACTGCTTTTCCTTTGTTTTTAGGGCGGTTGGGTCTAACAAAATCTATTGGTTCACCAAACATGTGGTTTATGTCCTCCATAGCTTCCTTTAGGTTAACTGTAGGGTCAACAAGGCCATGGTGGCAGGCATTTTCAACTGCTTCTGGCTCATCGGAGATAGTTGAACCAACAAATCTATGAACAACTGTATCCTCTCTAAATCTAGCCCGAGGAGGACTGTTTCTGTCTGCTTGTTCAGGACTTTCAGGTGAACGGTCTCTTGGCAGTAGAAAGACAAAAGCTTTTCCAGCCTCATCATTTTCATCCGTAGTATCATCAGCGTTTTCATCATCAATGAATATCTCAAATGACTCTTGGTTAGACTGGGATCCTTGAGTAATACCAGTCTTTGCTTTTCCACTAGTCCCTGTTTCACTTTTGAGATTCTGGTCCACAAAAACTTCAAAACTATTGTTGCATCCTTGATTTACTTTGTTTTGACTTCTCTGTCGTGATCTTCTGTGCAGTGGAGCAGTTTCTATAGGCTCTTTGAACATGTTGTTGATTGCATTCATGGCTTCCTTCATGTTTACTGTGGGATCCACCAAACCGTGATGGCATGCATTTTCTGCTTCAGGCTTTCCTACAATGGCTTTATCAACAAAATTCAACACTGGCTCATGTTGCCTCACAACCTTCTGGTCTTTCCCAGTCAGTTTTTGTTCCTGACGCTGCAAAGGGAAACATATATTCAGATATCTGCAGAACTTGTAAGAAATTATACAAGCGGAGCAATCAAATAATGGAAATAGTACCTGTGTCTTTTTCTTTTTGTGTCTCTCCATGCGACTTAGGAATTGCAAGTATGATTTCTGTAACTCATCCATGGGTTCTGCAAGGCTGGGGACAAGAGGAAATAGTCACCCAATTTAAATAATGTCTTCAACTTATCACATATGCTAACTCAAACTATCATTATTACATTCATCATTACCACATAATGAATTGACTTGTAGTAGATTTTGTAGCAAATCATGCAAGTGGATGGATACCAGGAATGATCATGACATGAACTTACTTAGAGAATATATAAGCTGAACGATGAATTTGAATGGGAAATTCAGTGGCAAAAACAAGGATATTCAGTAGCTCACAAGTATAGATTTTTTCCCTATGCATAATCACCTAATAGAGGTGTACTCTTAACCATCCATTAAATACAACTTTCCTGCGATTCCAAGAATACTTACTTTTGCACCCCAAGACGGTACATTTTCTCAGCCTCCTCAAATCTTTTCATCTTCTCATAATGGAGAGCATATGCCTGGTAGAACAGTGACCTCTTGGTCCCTATATTTTTTGTTTCCATGGCTCTTAATAGAGCTCTTGGATCGTCCACAAAGTCCATCTAGCCAAAAAAATCATCATCACCCATTAAGACCAACAACTGAAAGCATTCAAATCATCAGGGATACAAACCCCAAACCATTCAAATCCAAAATGTTCTTCTCTCGCTCAGTTTAAATCCCTTTAAATTTTCGATCTTTGCAAGCAGGAATAGTAATGAGATCATCAAATCCATATGAATCCAGTTACATTTTTATCCACTACTCTTACTAGAATGCTTATCCAATCAATGATCTCTAGGATTCTCAAACTAAGCTCGAGCACAACAGTTAAGAAACCCCAAAAAGAAAAAATCAGTTTCAACCAAATCAAATGAAAAATCAAAAGGGTAATTTTTCATTACCAGCTGCAACCAAACACGAATATACCGCGAATCGTTCTTATATCTCTTATCAGATTCAAATGACTCTGCACATTTCTGCAAAAACCGCGGCAGCTTCTCGTTCAATATCTCAGTGGGCAAGCTCTCTTTCATCTTCTTAATACCTCTGTTTCATATTGACCCAAGAATCAAAGACACATCTTTTTATTAGGTTTCTATGAACTTAATGCTATAGAACCGGCGACTAAAATAGTGATACTGAGACAAAAACAAAAAATTACCGGATCCAAGGAAGAAGATGGTCCTTTCCAGAGTATGATTTGATATCGACGATCAGTGAAGCCAACAGGTTCTCGTTCTTCGCCATTTTTACTTCTCCGAATTGAAGAAACCAAAAGGACAAAGGCGAGACTAGAGAGAGAGGGATATGTACAGTATACGAAATTTGAAAAGATTCCACCTTTTAATTTTTAAGTCTTCTGATAGAGAAAGAGGCTCCACTCTGCTCCTTATAACCAGCTAACCCGACTAATCGGAAGCCGGTTAACCAAATAACCGGTTCTGCAAGGGATTCGCAAGAATGTTAACGCTTTTGGAGGAGCCGTCAAATTGATTTCGCCGATTTGCTCATCTCTCAGTTGTTTTGCTCCTTCTCATGGCGAATCCGGCGGAGAAACCCGACCCGAATCTATCAACACCCAAAATCGAACCAGAAGATGAAAGAGAAGAACTAGAGGACATGAACGGCGACGAAGAGGAAGAGGAAGAGTATGAGGAAGAAGACGACGGAAAACCCCAAACGCGAGAGGATGCGATCGCGAGTAGGATCCAAGCGGAGTCTCTGTTCCGTCGTATGCGAGCAGCTCCGGTCCCGGTGCGTGTCCATGACGTGATCGTCAAAGGAAACGAGAAGACAAAGGACCACGTCATCGAGGCTGAGGTGGATGTTGTGAGGCAAGCGACTACGTTGCAGGAGCTTCTCAAAGCCTCTAAGGTTGCCAATTTCAATCTTCAAGCGCTTGATATCTTCGATTCAGTCAGCATTACGCTTGATTCTGGTCCTCCCGAGCTTCCTGGTACCACCAATGTGGTAATCCATGTTGTTGAGAGCAAAAGCCCAATCACCGGCCAAATCGGAACCTTCACTAAAGCAGAGGTATTACTTTCTTTTTCTTCTTACAATGGATTCTTAGTATTCTCCTGGAAGAATTATGTAAATCCATTGATTGAGGCATAGAGTTGGAGTTGTTGATTCATGTGGATGTATCTTATTCTGGAGCTGATCATCTGGATTCACTAATATATTTGTGTCTCTTATTTAGGGGATTTCATATTTATTGTTCGTGTGTCTTTTGTAGGCTAGATCATCAAGCCTTGAAGGCTCTTTGAAGTACAAGAACATTTTTGGATATGGAGATATCTGGGACGGGTCTCTGGCTTATGGCTGTGATCACTCTGCAGAGGTCGGCTTGGGTATGTATTTGCCAAGGTTCAGAGGGCGTCCTACACCATTTACGTCGCGGGTTTACCTTTCTAACCAAGATTGGCTTAAGTTTTCGTCTTATAAAGAACGAGCTCTTGGTCTTTCCTTTGGGCTTATCGCTAGCAAGTATCATGAGCTGGTCTACACTACTGCATGGCGTAACCTGATAGACCCATCGAAAATGGCATCGAGTTCAATTAGGAGACAGCTGGGTCATAATTTGGTTTCTGCTCTGAAGTACACTTTCAAATTTGACCAGAGAAACTCATCCTTGAGACCAACACGCGGGTACTCTTTCATCTCTACGTCTCAAATAGGTGGTCTTGCACCTGATAGTCGAGTACTCCGTTTTTTGCGCCAGGTTTGGGATTCTTTATTCTTATTGCCAGCATTTTATATTAACTTATTTTACAGTGTGGAAAGTTGTTGCATCTACATTTTACTCAGAAAACTTTCATGGCACCTAGTCCCTTGTATAGGATTTTGCACCATTTATTCATAACTTCCCAAATACCTCTGGTACTCTTTACTTATTGTGACAGTAAATGAAAAGATTGGTTAACCCTACGATAACATCTGTAGTTCTTTTAGTTTTGCCATACATGTTGAGCGTTTTCTTGTCCTTTTTCAGGAAGTCGATCTCCGATATGCTGTTCCACTCGGGTTTTATCGTGCTGCTCTGAACTTCGGTGTATCTGGGGGAATCACTTTCCCATGGGGAAGCGGATACAAGAGCAGAGCTTCTTATGTACCTGAGAGGTTCTTCTTAGGTGGAAACCTATCACCTGTGTGTTCGTTGGGAGGACCATCTGCATTATGGGGATTCAAGACTAGGGGATTGGGTCCTAGCGAGCGAAGGAGGGAAGTACAAGACGATGAGAGTAGTGACACACATGAAAGGGATTTTGTGGGAGGGGATGTTGCGGTTACTGCATTTGCAGACCTGTCTTTTGATTTCCCACTGAAATGGTTCAGAGACAGAGGAATTCACGGACATGTGTTTGCATGTGCTGGGAATATGGCAGAATTATCAGAGAACAAGTATAGGAAGCTCACTGCTCCAAAGTTGTTGGAGACATTTAGAAGCTCAATTGGTGCTGGAATCGTGGTACCAACTAGTCTATTTCGCATGGAGGTTAGTTAGTGTTCCCGCTTCTCTTTTCTCATCAAGAATCATAAAAAAAAAAAGATTTGCAATCCTTTTAACAGATATTGATTATTGTTTTGTTATGTGATCGCTTATGACAGCTTAACTACTGCCACATACTGAAGAAACAAGAACACGATCGAGCAAAATCTGGACTTTTCGTTACATTCTCGACATCATGATAATGCTTACCTTTGATGATATTTTTAATTGTGGCTTGCACTCTCAGTGTCATGGTGGAATCTTTTTGTTTTGGTTTCCAGGTGCTTCATTGTTTAGTTTCTTGTTTGGAATTTTGAAACTATGAAAGTTCTATAGAGATTGCGTACGCGATGTGCCGATTTTTCAGGGGAAAGGAAATAAGATTAATAAAGAGAAATTAACTAAAGTTGATATTTTATCCTGATATTATTTCCCTTTTTTAAAGATGTTTCCTTCTTTCAGGAGTAAGAATTATTATCCATCCCCTCTAAAAATAAATATTGTTCCTAGAGGCTGTCAAAAGAAACCTAGAGAAGAAGAGAAATTAAAATCAACCCTTGGTTGGGAGGATCAATCATCATCCATAAGAGTCATGCAAAAGCAAAAGAGCCGGCGAGTATTTTTCTTCTACCCGAGCAGTTTCTCACCACGCTTCCATTCAAATTCCACAAGCCGTTTCGCCATAACACTAAAGACTTTCCGACGAGATATTTACCGTCCGATCACCGGGAAGGAACGACTTTTCGGACAGACATCACTAGGCCCTTGGGTTCAACTGAAGTTCAAAATCCCATCAGAGTTTCTAGCCGCCTGCGACGTGGATACATGCCGTCAACACTTGTCTCTTGTTTTGGCTGATGTTGAGTATCACTTGATGGACGACGAGGAATCTATAGTGACACATGATTGTTGTCATGTTTTTCATAAACTCTGTCTTTGGCGCTGGATCCGAACCAATAGCACTTGTCCTTTTTGTCGTCATCCTATTTATTCAAGACCCAAATTTTTGGATCTTTACTTTTTTTTTTTGTAAAACTCCGTCCTCCTTTGCAGGATATACATATGACCCAAATACTTGTTGTAAATTATGGGTTGTTTTTATATAAAAAAAGTGCAATTGAAAAGATGTTCTATAAGCTTCGATTAAAATTAAAAAACGGGTTTAAGGCCCATATGGTTAATGATTTGTGAAGTCTCGTGAGTCGTGACCATTACAGATTTCTCCACGTGTGTGTTTAGTTTATTTTCCTCCTGTCGTCGTCGCCGCCGTCAGAAGCTTCGTCTCTTCTGTCTGACTCGGTTATGGAGGACGTTCTAGCCACGGCAGACGGAAAGGTACGTCTCTTTTTCTCTAATTACGTTTACTAAAAGTTAAATGGATTCGAACGTAATCTGTTTTGGTAAAAATCTAATGTGTGTATTAGGCTCTGGTTAAGCTGGTGAAGTTAGGGCAGAAGAATGCTTTTAAAGGCGAACACGGACAATGGAAGGAGTTCCTAGATTTCTTCGACAAACAGCTCGGATCCTCGAGCTTGAGTGATCCTTCGAAGCGGCACAGAGATGACTTGGTCGCTTTTCTTACCACACTCAAGAAGAAACAAGATTTGCAGGTTTTAAAAAACACACATTACACAACTATACTGTTTGATAGTGATACTTATTAATCTCAGGTTACGTACTTGTTTGATATTTTATTATGGGTTACTTACTCTACTCTCAGCTCTTGGCTAGGGTTCTGAAACTCGACAATGATCTTTTCGAGAAATTCAGAAAGAGATCTCCGGATGAGACTGCTGAGCAGGTGTGGTTTAAAAAAGCATAATTATTTTGGCTGTGTAATGCCACTAGTTTAGTTAGTAGTATTCATAAGTACTAATGTTGTTGGCAGTGCAGAGGCTTGTTCGAATGACTCTTACGCATGATGAGTACCCGTTAGACTATTTGTTCCCATCTTACGCTGAGGTTTGTGTTTATAGCTTATTCTTTTCTTGTGTGATGGAGAAACTGATTGAATAAAAAAGCTGAGATATTGATTGAGTTCCGAAAACAGGATTGGGTTGTAACAGGGCTTGGAAAGAAGAAGATGGAATCGACCAAGATCGAAATGATTGCTATTGATTGTGAGATGGTTCTTTGTGGAGATGGGAGTGAAGCTGTTGTTAGAGTTGCTGCCGTTGACCGTGATTTAAAGGTAGAGCTCTTTAGATCTTTATTTCCAATGTTACCTTTTCTTATTCTACGTACCCATTTTGACAATTTATGAAATCAGGTGATTCTTGACGAATTTGTGAAACCGCATCAACCAGTTGTTGACTATAGGACTTTCGTTACTGGACTTACTTCTAAAGATCTTGAAAAGGCTACACTCTCGGTGGTAGATATACAGGTACGTTGCATATATACTTTTTTGTTTTTTTGCGTTTTCTTCAACTCATTGCTCTGCTGACATCTAGTGGAGAAAATTTTGCAGGAAAAGTTGCAGATGTTTCTTTCTGAGGATACTATTTTGGTAGGTCAAAGTTTGAATAATGATCTAAAAGGTAAAGTACAAATGGTCCAGTTCCTCCTAGTTTCTTTATAAAAGTTTATAGAGCCTGACTTATATTATGATTGATCTCAGTATTGAAGATGGATCATGCCAGAGTAATAGATACTTCACTTGTGTTTAAGTATAACTATGGTGGTACAAGAAAGCCTTTAAGACTTAAAAGACCTTCTTTGAACTATCTGTGCAAGGTAAGCATATGAAAGCTCAAAGCTCTGCTCATGAGATATCGTATATGGTTCCTGACCTGAATAATCGCATTGTTTGTTTTACTTCATTTCCAGTGTATATTGGGTTATGAAGTGCAGAAAGAAGGTGTTCCCCACAATTGTGTTCATGATGCAGAAGCTGCGATGAAACTTGTACTTGCTATACTAGATAATGGAGTAGAGACCTCTGTTCCACTATCTAAAGAGGTAACTTAGACTGTCACAAACTTCATTAGTCGTTCAAAAACCTTCAATTATAAAAGTTTTTGTCTGCAAAATTCTGTACAGATGTTGGAAGCTGATAAATCAAGGCTCTACCTTCATTGCATCCCTTGTAATGTTCCATATGAAGAGTTAAATGGTGTTGTTTCCAGGGATATCCCACACGAAGTTAAGGTATGTATATACCATTTCTAATCCAAGTTCTTTCTTTCTTTATATTCTTTTTTTTTATGTATTCACGAGGCTCTCCCATTGTTTCTTGAACTTCTTTTGGTAGCCGTCAAAGAAACAAGATCGTCACTTCTACAGCGCGATTGTTGTTTTTAAAAGTCCAGAAGAAGCAAACCAAGCATTTGAAAACATTGCGGGAGACTTGGGAGAGGTATTTTAGCACCCATATCTCTGCTCTGGTTAGTTCACAAGTTTAGTGATGTATAATAAGTTGTCACTCTTGCAGGATTCGACGGGTTTGTCACAAAAACAAATCTTTCTAGAGCCGAGTTCATCAAGACTTGGATCATACATTTTCGTTCGTAAAATGGTTGAAGAGGATTCGGTTGGGGAAGCCTCTGCAGAGGAGAAGAATGCAAGTTCTAAGAAACGGAAGAGAGAATATGATTCTAAAGAGAAGACCAGAGAGAGACACAGATGTAAACCATTCCGTAGAGGAAAACAGAGAAGCTATGTGAAACGCAGATAAAATAAAGGAAATGATAAGATGATAAATAAACCTTGGATGACCTTGAAAAATAATTTAACCATGCCTCAGTTTTGTGTTGAATAATCATTGATCCCCTCAAACCTTGTTTCCCTTTTTGTTTTGTTTTTGCCAATTTATTGGGTCATTGGATCAGATTTTACTCCCTACCATTTGACTCTGTTCATTCGAGAATACCTCATACTGTAACCAAAAGTGAGACTAACCCTTCTAGCAGCAGCTGGTTTGAATTTGTTTATTACCAAGTCGTAACTTTATACATGGACACTTCAAAAAAGTACATCATACTTGTCAGATACTAAGAGTTAGGGAAGAAGATTTGCATCATTACAACAATGTACCCTAAATCGCTAGAAAGTAGAAGAAAAAACAAAAGCAATCCTAGAGAGTTCTCTAACTTCTATCCTACAAATTGGAAAAAAGATTAACAGGGTCCTCCAATTCCAATGAGCTTCAGATCCAACTAATTCCTCTTCGTTTTACATTTGATGCTCCACCGCAGTAGTTCCTCCACCATTCCAAGTCTACTATTACATACCTGTACAATAAAGGCAGATCAAACTTCAGTAACTCATTACCAGGTCAAACTTCAGTAAGTTACTCGAATTTAAACCTCGATGTCCACTTCCGACATTCCACGAAGCTAAAAAAGTTAGAGAAATGCTAGCTCAATTTTTTCTTGCCGGACTATTGAAAGCACATAAGCTCAAGTGAAGTGTATATTGGTATTCTTCAAAAAGCAGAGAAGGACTAAACTTTAACATCAACAATTAATCAATTACTAACTAGCCTCTCATCAATGTCTTTAGCCATTAACAGAATAGGTATCGTGTAAAGAGACGGTAACACTATAAACATGTAAAGTATGAGGCTTTAGCTAATCTTAAGATTCTAAGACTCCACTAGTAAGATTCTACAATCACACAAAGGTAAAAGGTAATCCTAATGAGTGTTCATACCTGAACCAAGCCCACGTTTCCGGAGCTTTGATTTCTCAATCTCTAATTGCATCTCCATCAACATGTTCATTCGTTGTAACTCTACCTCCTTTATAACTTCCATTCTCTGCTTCTCCAATTCAATCATCATCTGCTGCTTCTTACCTTCAATCTTTTCGTACACTTCCCCAAACTTCAGAATTGCCGTAGCTAGTTCCCTACACGTCGATCCTTCACTCAGATCTATCTCCTCCACACGAGAATGCTCCCTAGCAACGAATCCCCAGTCACCAGTCTCATCATCATCATCGTCATCGTCATCCTCAAGAGAGCTTCCCGATCCTGCTGGATTCAGATGATTAGGGTTCACAATAGGCACTGATTTGATAACTCCACCAGCCGATTTCTTTACGACAGGACCGATCAAGAAGTCGAGGCGGTCAAAGAAACGCCAAGTGGACGGGGAGAGTTTAGCCTTCTCCGATTTGTACTTCTTCTTCAAGGTATCGATCCGGTTCTTACACTGTACGTCGGTCTTCGCACGGACGTAATCTCCGTGCCTAGAGTTAACGGTGTCGGCGACGTCTTTCCAGTCATTCTGACGGAGGTTTCCGTGGTTGAGCTTGACGTAACGATTCCCCCAGGCTTCGACCAGCGTCGCCGTCGCTTCCTCGCTCCACCAGTCTTCTCTTCCTAACGGCGGACGGTGTGACCCACTCGCCTTTGACTGCGGCGTCGTCTCCATTCGTCGGGAGGATCCAAACAAGAAAAAAAGAAGTAACTTTTTTCTTTTCCCCTGGTGGGTGGGAGGAAATCGGAATGGGAGAGAAGAGGATAAGTGTAGCCTGACATTGATGACCGGCGGTGACGTCACTGTCTGTATTCGAGAGTTTTGGTCCCAGTGGCGATTATCTTTTTTTTCTTTCCTCCGTTAAAACCAAACTGATCTCTTCTTCTTGGTCTTTTTAAGTCTTAACTCGTTAACTTATGGTTAACTGTTAAAAACAAAACCACATAACTTTATATTTATCTCAAAACCAACCTCAAACTAAAAGATTATATTAAATATACCTATGAAATTAACACGTCTACAGGCTTCTACTGGGCCCAAAAAGCTAATAATTTTTCGATCGGGTCAAAAGCGAATAATTGGAAATATTTTAATTTATTTCCTTTTGGGCCTTCAAATTTTACTTATTTACTTAAAACCCAGGATCTCCGTTTCCAGAGCATCATCTAAGCACAGAAGGTGTTTGATTAAATTCCTCTAAGAAATCGCTCTTTCACTGAGCTAAGACTTTCGATGCTTTTTGAAGCCATGCTTTGATATCTCTTTCACTAAGCTTATGCCCTCTTTTTGGTTTCGATTCTCTCTACTCAGTTCTTCCTCTATCTCGCTTACTTAATCTTAACTCGATTTCGACCCTTATTATTATTATCCATGTCCGTAAAGCCCGCCACACAGGTTTTAAATTTTTTTGAAAATAGAAAAGACTTAGGGTTTAACTCCGAAAGAGCGGAGGAGATCAATTCAACTTCACTAAATCTCCATTGACTGTTTGCAAAAAAGCTCTTCGGAGAAAAAGAAAAAATGGCTCCAGGGGTACGCCAGCTTACCGTCCTCGGAAAGTTCAAACCTTTCGGTCTAATCGCCGAGGCTACCGACGGTAAATTACCGGACGAGAGTTATGCCGATTCCTATCAGTATTTTCTCTTCGATCCTGAGCTCACTGGCGAGCAAGACGATGCTAATGGCAGTGATTCCAACTTCTCCCGGCAGAGAGAGCACGAGCTCTTCATCCGAGACAACTGGTAAGAGGGGTTTGGATTCAATTTGAATTTGAAAAAACACTGTCTGTATACAAATACAATTGCCTGATTACTCTATCTATAACCATGCACCACTTTAATTTATCATTGATAATGCAGACAGTTCATCAGTTACATTTATAATATGTTTTCCTTTTCTTCAAGTTTGACTCTTTATTCTAGTAATGACCCTGTAGGATTGTTTATGCTTAGGCAGAAACTGGTTTCATCGAATATGGATATAACTTATCAAGCTGAATTTCTTATCTTTTCTGTTCTTGGCAATAAAATTTTGATTTGATGATAGCATAATCTGGACCAGCGGTTCACGCGTGCTCAAGCGCTTTACCTTGTCTTCTCCCGTCATTAAGGTAATAATCTCCATAAGATGTTTGAGCATATCCCCAATGTTATCACTCTGTTTCAACTCATAGATTTTTATGCTATAGGCATGCTGGAGCCACCTCGGTCGAGGGACAGAAGCTTTTCTTTGTGTCTTTCAAATTGGCTGCTTAACAATATACAACACATCAGGTAATTGTGGCTAGATACCTCTGAACTCTAATATTTCCCCACTTATCCGACTCATATTGTTGCACATAGTTTGTGTAATTACAAAATTTTATGGAATCAGATCATGTGGAATATGTTTCATGTAGCTTTCTCTGCATTGACCGCTTTCTGAAATGTTTTCAAGTAGATCGATTAACTTAGGCACTTTTAATTTCTAATCATTTCCTCGGGCTCTGGAAATATATTGCTTTTTCCTTTTAACTTGTTGGCTAGATCTTATCAGTACCATTTGTCTCTTTTTTACTGTAACATGAGCTGAGGTAATTACTTTTGATCTTTGGCATCTGTTGGCAACAGGCGAAGTTGTATCTGTTCCACTTCTGCGTACTGTCAAATCAATATGGCCTCTACCATTCGGTCTACTTCTTCAACAAGCTGCTGAAGTGACTCCATCCACACATGTTCCATTTTCTTCTGTAAGCCCCATCCTTGGTTCGCGTGAGATTCTGCGCCAAAGAAAAGAAGTTGGGAATAGTTCCCTACAAAAATTCCATTCCCCAGTGGCGCATGACCTTATCAGCAAAAGAGATATGCCATATATTTCTTCCCATCTGATTCTAAGAGATCCATTAGAGGAACCTGGGGTAAATGAACTCATCTTTTTATAGATAATCCTTGTAACTTTATTCATACTTCACGCTAGTCTTTATACCAGGACCTGAATTATTTCTTTGTTGTTATCAGCAGCACATATATATTTTTCGGTGATGCAATATTTGGTTATACTTTGCATCTGGTGACTCATCTACTTACTTTTCAGCCAACCTATGTAGAAGAGAGGGGGAAGTTGAACATAATGAAGGACTACGATGAGAGAACAATTTGGACAAGTGATCGTCTACCTCTTATGACGTCATATAATAAAGGTTTGCTACTTTTGTCTCTGGTCAGGCTGAGGTTGGCTCATGCTCTTAGTCTTCATTGAAATACTTTGTCTTGGCTTTTCAGGCAAGATGCAACATTCTGTGTGGGCAGCAGAATTTATAGAGTCAAACCTTGAAGCTTCTGCCTCATGTTCAAGCGGCATCGTTCCTGATGCTGTTCTCCCGAAGCGGGTTTCTTTTCGCAGAATATGGCAAGCCAAAGGTGCAAAGAAAGCTGCATCTAAGGTGACAGATCTATCTATTATTTATGTATTTTGCTAGGCAGCTGGACAAGTTTTAGGATCTCTTTTTCTAAATGACTAATCCGTGACTATGTTCTCCTGCTAACAAAATCAAGGCTTAAAAGATTTTCACTTAAATGTTTTGGGGATCTCTCCTAAGTGATGTTCAACGCTCAGTTATCTTGAATAGAATAGCTTTCTCATTTTCCATGTTCTCTGAGCATTCTAAGCCACTACTTTCTTAAAGTTCTTTTTTCTAGAGCTTTCAGTCTTAATGTAGACATATGGCCTTCCTTGATACTCTTGTTATTCGAAACATATTTTGTTATTCAAGAAGATTCAAGCTTTGGGGCCACAGCTAAATCCCTTCCCCATTGTGGTGCTCAAACTCGAGATCTGCAAGCCTCCCCCTAGAGGATTCGCAGCCTTGAGGGCATGCATTACCAATGCTGAGTTTGCACTTTGTATTTTTGTGTTCGTGTTGTTGAATGTGTTTCAAATGGATGAATTTTGTACTTTTGGACTTTCATTATTTTTTGTTGATTGTGGATGGGAGAGAGGGCTGGGTCTGTTACTGAAATTTTGTACTATTCTTTGTAAATTTTTACTAGTGCCTTAAAATATATTTCAGGTCTTTTTGGCGACTGATAATGCAGTTCCAGTAATTTGCTTTCTGATTCTAGAACAAAAGAAGCTATTATCTGTGGGACTCCAAACTGTTGAAATCAATAACGAAATTCTGTTCGACGTTAAGCCTGATATGAGCTGGAGTGCCCCTGCGATTGCTGCTGCACCTGTTGTTGTGACACGTTCTCAGTAAGTTCCTATTTGCAGTTTTTTTGGCCTCTCATCACTGTTAATGAGACTATTTCTGTTGTCCTATGATGATTTTGACAATACTTCTTCCATTATCTTGCAGAGTGAAAGTAGGACTGCTTCCACATTTAGATATCATTGTATTATCTCCAGAAAATGACCTCTTTCTCTATGTAGGTTCTTGTTACGTACCATACCAATTTCTTTTGTTAAAATCTTCTTAATGTAGTATGTTTAATTTATCATATTATTTGTAGTCAGGAAAACAATGTCTCTGTAAATATGTATTGCCTTCTTGGTTGGGAGAAAGTATTGGTTCTGGGGATGGAGAGTCTGCAAAAACAGATACAGATTTCAGGGACCTGAAGATCACAGGATTATCTGATGCTGTGTTGGGATGTTTCAATCTATCAGTTAACCATTCACAGGTATGCCCGACAAATATCAATCCTTCTAAAATTTAAATTGATTAGTCTTGTCAACTATCATGATCATTCTATCTTTATGAACTCAAATCACGTGATTCTTTCAGCTGGATGTACGGATCCAATTTTTTAGGATTTGTCTTATGTTTTAAATTATCGTTTATACCTTACTCTTGTAGATCTTTCGGTGTGCTGTAACTGGTAAAACTTCATCTTCACTTGCAAATGATTGCATAGCAGCCATAGCTGAGGGATTACGATCCGATCTGTACAATTTGTTTCTCTCTCTTCTTTGGGGAGATGGTCATTCTGACCAGCAAGGTTCGAGTGTTCATTTTGAATGGGAAGCTTTCTGCAACATATTTCTGGGTATCTGTCAAGAGCCTACTGCTGTGCGTCTGAAGCAACCCAAACCATCATCAGAGTCCTCCTGGGAGTTTCTTCTAAGCAGCAAATTCCATAAGACCTACTCTAGGTTTTACAGTGGTATTACTTCGATAAATCATTTGGATCTGGCAGGAACTGCCCCATTTGATTCTAAGATTGATAGCAAAGATATACCAGCCAGCTCACGTGAATTAATGGTCCAGAGTTTAGATTGTCTTCATGCAGTTTATGAGAGCTTGAAGATGGATAATCTACGGAAACAGTAAGCATATTGGTTTTTTACAAAGCTTTGTTTCGTGCTCTTTACCTGTTTTGCTTACAAATGATTAATTATCCCAGATTGGTAAAAAAAAAGAGCTGAGAAAAGGCATTGACAACAGTAGTTTTATGCCAGGATTTTTGCTTAACATTCCTCTGTATAGTTTTTCATAGAAAAATGATGTTGATAGATCCGAAGAAGAGTTAACATTAAATATGTATGTGAGTTAGTCTTTTAACTTTTGACATCTATGTGTAGGGATTTGCATCACTTGGCAATTTTGTTGTGCAATATTGCCAAATTTCTGGATGAGAAGTGTTACTTAGATCACTACATACGTGATTTTCCTCGTCTTTCCAAAACTATTGGGGCGTGCACAACCGTTTCTTCTATCAGAAAACCTCCAAATTTATTTAGATGGCTTGGGAACTGTTTAAGACGTGGATATCTATCCACAAACCTTAATGACCTCCCAGATTTGATCCGTAAAGATGATGGGTGCTCCATTGTCAGCTGGGCAAGGAAAGTTGTTTCTTTCTACAGTGTGTTATTTGGTGATAAGCCAG